AGAGGAGGAGAGAGAGAGAGAGAGAGAGAGAGAGTTAATTAGATATAGCCTACTGATACGCATTCGTTTACTGCATCCGATATTCGTTTCTCCATCTTGTCACGTTTCGCCCCTTCGTGCTTTACCATCCCGAAATTTCGTAGACAGTTACTGATGAATTTTCTTTGATCCTTCCATTGTTCCCCCTCCGCGCAAATTATACCTGGGCAAAGCGATGAATGGAAATGGTAAACACAAGTGGATGTACACACGAAAGAGTGCTTACCGTAACCTTTCATAATTCCGTGCGTGAGGTAGAGGGGTGCTCGGTTGGTAATCGAGTCTTTTGCAAACGATTGGCGTATCAGTTGAGGATCTGATAGTAAAACGGTATAGACGGAGCCCATGCGGAATCCGCATACAGGGCCGTAAACTCTTGACAATCTCGTCAGAGTTTCGTGGGGTTTTTCCGCGTCGATCCATGGAAGGTAGCCAATGACAGGAAGTTGCCAGGGACCAGGTGGTAGACGACGCGTTTTTCGACTTTTGTGAAGAATATATAGAAGAAGGAGAAAAGGCAATATGAATATCGCGTAATGTTCGAGATTCATCGCGAATGATATCTTGATTGATTCGATTCGTCGTGTTGATGGTGGATATATATCTTCTAGGACGATATAATATTTCTATCTTACCTGTAACAAGGAATGAAAAAGTACTTTTGATTAAATAAATAAAAACGAAACGTACGTATTATATGTATATCCTTTGGTCGAAGAGAAATGTTAAACGATCAGGAAATTATAATTTTTAAATAATAAATAATAAATAAATATTTTCGTCGTATATTTAATAATAATGAATAATTTTACCCGATTTCTTCAGTTCTCGAGTATTAAACGTTTACTTACCGCAAGAAATACACGATTATCTATGAAAAATCGAAGGGGGATATTTTTTAACGATGGATATTAAAGGATAGAAGAGGGAAAATGTTCAATCGGAACAGCAACGATCGAGCGACTATCGAGTCTGAAGAATAATATAGTTCCTTTAACGCGATGTAAATGATATACGATTCCTTCTCCTCTCATTATATATTCGAGTCAGGCCTGGTAAATTTTGACTATCAAATCGTTGATCGACTATTTTACAATTGTGAAACAACCACCACTGTCCGTTCCGATTCCAAATGTTTCGCTTTGCATCAAATGATCAAAAATAGTTTCGACACAAGTCAACATTACACTTTGAAACTATGCTATTAACACACACACACACACATACACACACACACACACACGATGGGAATATTTATGGAACTTCCAACCAAAGCTGTTAGTATGTTAAAATATTTTCGTCTTGTTCAAATCTTAGTTCAAATCTTATAGAATAGACGAAATTAAAAGAGGAAATATTCAAGAAAAATAACGGCCAATTTCAATTATATTACAGAATGTAATATAAGGATAATTTTTCTATATCCTTAAAAGAGATGCGAGCACAATCTGAATTTGAATAACAATGAATAAAAAGGAAGTTTTTATTTCTAGAAAATGATGACAATTATGAGGTATTATGACAATTGCTAACATAGCATCTCCTTTTTCCTCGTAATCAGCAAGAATTGCGTAGGTGCAATATTACTTCTCAATCTAATAGAAGCTTACGTTCAACTCGTTTTTGCGATAATCAGTTGCTGCAAGATGATAAATCATTCCAATAGAGAAAATGTTGACAAAACAAAATAAGTTTCTCCGTATAGGATAGAATATAGATAATTTAGATAATTGATGAAAAGGCGATTAAATAAATGCATTATTCAAAAAACTTGAAGAATACGAAGATCAGAACGGATATGAAAAGGGATTTGAATAAAAAAAAATGAATAATTGTGTCATTTCAACCAACTTTTCTTTTTCTTTTCGAAAAGATGAGGAGTAAAAGATAAAAGATAAAAAGCGAAGGCGAAGGCGAAGGCGAAGGCGAAGGCGAAGGCG